ACACTTGCCTCACGCTTTAGGCTATATATTTTAACGCCATTAAACTTAGGGGGTAACTATTTTGGATAAAAACCCTAATGTGGGAAAGAGATCATAAGTTGCTGCCAACATCAAGGAAGCAAGGTTGTCATTTTGACATTTGTAATTGATAATGTGACAAACGTAAGCAATAAAATTAAATTTTCATAATTTTATGCGGATGAAGTCGCAGGGACAAAAAAGGTTGAGAATCACTGATCTAAACAGTTATCACTTTACAAGGCTGTAATCACAGATTAAAAACATTTTTTTAAAGACAGAATTTTAATATAAATATTTTTTAATGCTTTAATAACAGCTTTTTTGACGAAGTAAAATTAATAATTAGAATAAAAATTATTAAAGGGATATATTTTCTATGGTTTAAATTTTCTCTTTGCTGATCTCATTTTTTCCGACATTTCTGTTAATTTCGGAAATAATTTTTAACACGTGAATGTTTTGTTTCCACTGCGTATAGAGGAAAATATCCATAGATCATGTTATTTATTTTAATAGTTAATATGTACAAAGTAATATATTTGTGGTAAGCATTTTATTGTAATACTCTTACTGGTTTTTTTTCTATTAATATATAGTCTAGATTGTAAGTGCAATACTTTTTGTTTATTGTAGAAAACTAGATTTATGTGATACATATTTAACTAGTGTAAAAAAGATAAACAATTACAAAACAATCGTTCCTATTGGCAAAAATTAATTTAAAACAAATTACTATAAATTTTTGATTTCGAATCTTGAAACTTTTGCATGCTTTTGTATGGGATTAAATATTAACCAAACGCTATTTTTAATACTTCAATAATATTTATAATTTTAAAACAGCCTTAAAAATAAACACGGTAGAAAGTTAAACTTAGGAATAAACTGAGTATAAGCAAAATTTTTATTTTGCATATACTCCGTTTACTTCAGTTTATTCCTAACTTTATACCGCATTTATTTGTAAGGCTGTATGTGTACATAATTTTTTACATTAAATAATTTAAAAAAAAATTATGTGTAGAATTAGGTGGTTCCTGTTAGGCCGATCGGTCCAACGGAAAAAACCCGTAGTATTAAATTTTTAAATTATTGGTCATGTCAATTCAAGCGAATGTGTGTTTGTTGTACAATGTTTTTCAAGGTTTCCACTGTCCAAACGGTAATGTAAAAACATATGCAGTCGAATAACAATGTATAGGAATCAATGGCGAAACATGACCTTTGGGGCAGTTTTTTGTAAGCAAATTCCGTCTGATTGTCCATTTACAGTACAAAATGACATTTGGATAATCGACTCTCCATTAGATGTTAAGCTTGTATCAAACACTTCTTTTATAGATTATACTTCTATGATTTAAATTCTCTATTACCACTTAAGTAGTATTTTACTATAATTATTATTTAGATAATCAACAATTGACTTTAACCAATATTGTGTATTAATAAAAACGCTTTAAACATTTATTTCATCAATTTCTTACAACCTTCTACCTTTTGCTGTTTGTGCAAAACATACGAAATATCTTTATCAATG